ATTTCAAAATTGCGGTAAGTTCTAGAAATTCAGGTTTCTTTCTTGCACACTCCCACATTTCAGCTGACCCATGTCCCCGCCCTCTGGGGACATTTTCCACCGAGAATGACACTCCTGTTCCGCTGGCGGCGAGTTGAGGAACCCAGCTGGTGTGTGTGTGTGTGTGTGTGTGTGTGTGTGTGTGTGTTCTCTATCAGGTAGAACAAGCTGATTTATTGGACTTAAAAAAAAGGATAATGCTGCCACTAAGGTGGGATATACATAAAGCTTAGCTATGGCATCAGCAGCTTTCGGAGAGCTAATAAGTAACCTTCATGGACCCTTTGATAATTCTAGTCAGTTTTAACAGCATTCTCAGATGAAAGGTTTCTTCAGGTTATACATCAAATAATAAACATGATGATTTTTTAATGAAACTTCAATAAACTTTTTCAATCTGATATAGTCCTGAGATTTATAAATGACACAGCAAGAAATAAAACTGTGAATACAAAATTCTATTATAGTGAAAATTCTATTAAAGGAAGGAAGGAAGAATACACAGAAGAACTGGAAAGAATACAACCGTACAAATAATACTAAATATCTTTGGAATAGAAGACCTAAGTAGAATTTCCCTAAACTCTAATATATTAAAACAAAAAAGTAATTGCCATTAATCCAGCTCTGACTCGTGGTCTTTCTCTATGTCAGAGTAGAACTGTGCCCCACTGAGTTTCCAGTGTCTAAGTTATTGGAAATAAATCACCAGGTCTTTCTTCCAAGCCTTCTCTTGGGTGTATCTGAATAGCCAGCCATTGGGTTGGTAGCGAAGTATTGACATTTTCTGTTCCACCTAGAGATTAGAGATTCTGCTTTTTTTTTAATCCCTCAATGGTTTGAAATGCTAGTAAAAATTAATAAAGTAAAATTTAACATAGCTTTGGGTGGGTTTTTTGGTTTCAGTATTTTGGGGGTTTGCCTCTTATATTTTGTTCTTCTTTTCCTAAAGCACTGAGCCCTATCCACCGCCTGTGACCCCTCCCCTTAATCCATGTGTCAAAAGGCCAAGTCACACTCAAAAACCAACTTCAGCCTGACCAAACCAAATCCACTGCCACTGATTCAGATGCCCGGAGCCCTCGCGTGCTACAGAGCCACGGGCTCCACAGGATTGTTCGGGCCGTAATCTTTACCCAGCAGATTGCCAGCCCTTGCGTATGGGCCACCTTCAGTAAACCTCCTGCTCAGAACCCCCGCTCACCCCGATTTCTCTTTGTGGCTCTGAAGGTAGAAACAATTGCTGTAGACGATAATTTCCCCCAGGGTAGAAATCAAACACCATCCTCTGTTTGCTCCTGCTACACTGACTGCCTCAGGGGCCCTGGTGGTACTGTCATTAGACTACTCACCTGGAGGTCAGCAGTTCAAAACCGCCCCCATTCTTTGGGAGAAAGATGAGGATAGCTACTCCCATAAAGATAGATAGATAGTTGTACTAGAAAAAGAGGAGAGACTGAGAAAAATCCCTCTTCTGCTGCTCAGTTTGACAGACATGTGCTAAATAAACTTACAGGAAAGCGGAGGGTCACAAAGACTTAGATCCTAGACATCCTACATTTGGCCTAAATCCCAGAGCAGCAACTGACCATGAAGCATGCCCAGCCAGTCTTGTTTCGGGTCCGAATTCTCAGCTAGAAATGCACAATTGAAAAACGAAAAGGTACAAGTCTCCGGTTACAAACCATCAAGGAAGCATGCAGTGTTTCTCTAATCTTTAGGTAAATTTGCTTAAACATTTTTATACCTCTTAATGGGAACAGAGGATGTCTGCTGGCTCCTGGTGTCCCAAGCCAAACCAAATACAATGCTACTGAGTCCCTCCTGACTCACATCGACCCTATAGGACAGGGTAGACCTGCCCTTGTGGGTTTCTGAGACAGGAACTCCTTACGGGAGTACAGAACCTCCTCTTTCTCCTACCCCTCAGTCCAGAAGGAAGGGGTGGGGGTGGGGAGGCCTGGGGAACTAAACCAAAACCATAGTCATTGAGCAGGTCCAATTCCAAACAACCCTGCATGACGTTTCTGAGACTATAAACCTTCATACAGCCCACCAAGCCTTGGGGACGATATTCCCACTCAGAGCAGCCAATCCCCAGAGAAGACCACATGACCGGCTCCACTATGAGACATGACATCCCTCACTGACCCAAAGCCCTACAGGGGACAACACTGGAGACACAGTGTGGGAACTGCGCCTGGTCTGATCCCATCACACCGAGGCAAAACACTAAGGGTGTGGAACAAAACAGCAAGGGGAGCACAGCAAAAAAGTCCCCATGGAATACCAAAAATAGACTTTGGGGCCAGGGCTTGGCACCCCAACAGACTCAGCTGGAAAGCACTCCTAAAGGCCAACAAATAGTCCTTGAACTAACTACAAGCTTTTCTTTTTTGTTGTTGTGTTTTGTTATGTTTTTTGTCATTGGTTTGTTGTTGTTTTGTTTTCTTTTGTTGCTTGGTTTTGCTCTGTCTTGTTTTTGTGCATGTTATTATCTCCGCAGGTCTGTCTAAATAAGATAGGCTGGATGAACAATCTGGAGGAAAAAA